ACAAACGCAGTTCCATTACTTAGAACTGTCACAGAAATGTTACTTGTCCCTGCTAAAAGAAACATTTTAAGTCATGTGAAATTCCTACAGAAATCAAATCTACTATTAAAATCAGTCAAAAAGCATTTAGCAAGAATCCACGATTGCTTCATATCTACTAGAATGGTTATAATTTTAAAAACAGAAACAAGTTTTGAATGCAAAATGGTGCAACCACTATGGAAAACATTACAAACCAAAGTAAGTAAAAAGCTAACATAATGATCACCACATGACCCAGAAATTCTACTCCTAGGTATACCCAAAGGAATTTTAACAGATTCAGATACTTACACATCAATGTTCACTGTGGCCTTATTCGCAATAGTCAAAAGGTGGAAACAATCTAAGCATCCATCAACAAATGAATGGATAAACAAAATGTACATATCCATATAATACAATTTTATCCAGCTATAAAAAGGAATTCGATTCTGGTAAATGCCACAGCGTGGATAAATCTCAAAAATGTTATGCTAAGAAAGAAGAGCCGGAAGCAAAAAGAAAAATATTTCATTATTTAGAATAGGCAAATTCACAGAGAAAGCAAGCAGATTAGAGATTACCAGGGGCTGGGGAAAAGGGAGAATGGGGAGGTATTTACTGCATGAGGGCTATCGAGTTTCTGCTTGGGTTGATGAAAAAGTTTGAAAATAGTGGTAATGATTGCACAACATGGTGAATGTAAATAATGCCAAGAAAGCGTACATTTAAAAGTCATTAAAATAGCAACATTTTAAATGTATTTTACCGTAATTTTAAAAAATAAGGTAATATACCAAAAGCCATTATATTTTTAAAATGGGTGAATCATATGCAAATTACATCTCAAGAGCTATCTGGAAGAAAAACAACACTGAACTTGGAGGTTCACTGATAATTAGAGATCACTTAGATTAATGAGTATAGTTTGAGAGTAAAGCTAATTACTACACTAGCCTAAGCAATTTTGGTTAGGAAGGCAATTTGTAGTGATGTACACAGACTTCTCTAGTTCTCACGTGACTTAATTCAGTCTAAGATAAAACCTAGCCCAATAACAACTATCCAAAATCAGGAAAGGAAGGATAACAAATGAATGGCACATATACTAAAGAGTTCACAACTTTTTAAAGTAATGGACAATTTCCAGACACCAGTAAGACAAGACAACGCCATAACAGGTCATTACAGAGATCTCTACATTAGCAGAGATCATGCGTACGCCTGAATTGAAGGTTAACTACAAATCATTCTTATTTATAAAAACAAGATTCCTACTAGACAATAATGACAATTTGAGGTCCTCACAGTTGCTGGGAATAGCCAGATGGTTTACTCCCACATCTGTTGGGGATCTTTACCCTTCCACATGCTCTGCTTCCGTATTCCTTTTAAAAATTTCCACAAGTCAGAATTTCTTCTACATTTAGCTAACTCCCTATAGTAGTGCATCTGATTTACCTTCCAAAATTATAAACAAGTCCTAAAAATAATTTGATACTTAAGATTTTCAGTGCCCCCTTCCTTTAGCTTGGAAATTCAAAACAGGTACAGAAATTACAAAGTGAGTTAAAGACAAAGAACAGGTCAAATATTGTGCTGCCAGGTTAAAGAATGGATGGGGCTTTTAATGATGTGGATTAATGAGACCAAAGATAACCTGAAAAGAAGTCTGGGTTTGAGTTATTCTTTGCCTAACGTGGGACTTTTTGCTATAGAAACAAAACGTGCTGTATTTAACTTTAGAAGGTTTGAGTAGTTCCCTGATAAAAAGTTCACTGTTACAACTTAATTCAATCTGAGCATGTTTTTCCATACAATTATCAAAATGGCTGAAGCCCAGTCCAAAAATGGAAGAAAATAGATTTTAAAAATCAGTCATTTTGAGAAAAGACTAATCATTAATACTAACAACTGAACCAGATAGCAATCAAGACAGAAACAACAAAAAGAGAAAGTAAACATGGAGAAGTGATTCGTAACACTAAACTATTCTACACAGGGAAACTTACTGGATTCAGGCATATGTTTCTCAATAGTGGAATAAAACAAAACATTACAACATTGAATTCTCTCTCCAAAGGAAAATAAGAAAATGTTGTTAAGAGAACCCTGGACAGATGACATGAGAGGAGGAAACTGTTAATGGCTACAAGCATCATATGTTTTTAACTTGTCAATTAGAAAAGATGACCCTGAAAAGAGCCTAATATGTTGGGTCACAAAGAATACACCTATTGAGCTTCATGATTAAATACATGACCTTGAATGGGTCTGCTCCATAGTCACACACTGAACTTTACAGTAGACATTTGTCCTGGACGTTGTGAATTCAACAGTCTTTAACTGCCACAAGGAAAAATGCAGCAACATACCATGTACAAAGCAAGCAAAAAGATGTATAAAATGGACAAGGCTTAGATGCAAGAAGTTTACTTTTAGTTGCCTCCTAGTTGCAGCTCTAAACCTACACATGATAAGTGAATCATCCATCCCCTCCAAGTCTGTTTCCCTAACTATAACATCAGGAAGATTTCTAACATCTCTACTACTCTACATAGAAAAGTTCAAAATGTCAAGAGATCAGCCAGGAGCTCAGTAAATGCCTTACACTCTTACATAAGTCAGCTCTGGGCAGCAGTGGGATCATTATTCCACAGGTAAATATGGATTTCCCCTTAGGCCCACAGAACAGGACAGAATTAGACCTGTTTTATTTGGGGTTCTTCCCAAGTTATTAACACACAAGTAGCAAAGAGTATTAATGATTAAAGGAGAAGATACAGCTGAAGAAAGCCATACTGCCAGTGAAAAAAAACGAATGGAGAGCCTAGTGCAAGAATAACCTAAAACCAGACCTCAGGACCAGACAACAGTGATCTGTGGCCAGCTGGCACAGGGGCAAACAGGGTTAAACACTTCTATCATTATATTACAGTAGGTTCATTACCTGCTATTTGTAATGATAACCTTTGGGCATCAAGAAAAATTGAAATTATGTTCACTGTATTCAGTAGGGCGAGGAAACACAGTTTTTTGACTACTATCATTTAAACATTTGAAAAAAAAAAAAAAAAGCAAAAAAAACTTCGGGCTGGGTGTCGTGGCTCATGCTTGTAATCTCAACACTCTGGAAGGCCAAGGTGGGAGAATCTCTCTTAAGTCCAGGAGCTGGAGACCAGCCTGGGCAACACAGCAACACCCTGTCTGTCTTTATTCTTTAACAAACTAACAAACAAAACCCTTCGGTTATCTCTAAAAAACAAAAACGCAACCCACCGCCTAAGGGAACGTTGCCTTGTCAGATGAGAGGTCACTATAAAAGCCTATTGTTCAGAAAATGAGTCAGTGACATCTTTATACACATAAGAGAAATACAGTAAAGCAATGAGAGCCAAGTCTGTGAAGCTTCAACTGCTTGTTACTTCCTTTGTAAGAACAATGAAAAGAACATGGTGAAAACTTCATCTAACATAACTTAAAGGACCCAGAATATTTCTGCATTTAGAAGGTGCCCACCTGGTTAAAATAAAACACTGCTAAATTGAGATTGTGGTTCTACTTTTAAGTTTAAAGTATCATTATACTGAGAAAATTCTGGTTTTATGTATTTAATGCAAAAATCATAAAACAACTGTTACATCAAAACATTCAATTATATACTGTGCTTCGGTGTATACTACTGGTGCTCAATAAATAATTGGTTTATATTTTGTTCTATAGGAGAGGAACAGAGTGAGTAGGCAGTTATTCTGACCAGGTCATTTATCCAAATCCAGAAAAATTCTGGACTCTGGAATTCCTGGAATCCTAAGATGTTCCTACATGCTTTATATGAAAAACCAACAACAATTAAGGTGTTTCTTCTCAGAGTGTACACATTTTTGTTCCAAAGTCTAAAAACCTTTCAAGGTTGTGTATCAATGACACCATTATACGAAGTATGAAGACTTTTCCTTGGACCTCAAAGTCATCACCTATACCATGTCTCTCCAACAGCACTCTGCATGGTCTACTCGAAGGAGCAGCTGCCAGGGGTACCTGCAGGTACCACAGCAACACAAAGGCCAGACACAAGTTCCCAGAAGCCTCCAAAATGGTACCTGTATTACAACCAGTCAAGTGGCTGCTTGCTTTCTAGGAAGCACCCTAAACACTCTGAGTGCTTCAATCAGCACTTGTTCACAGCCACTTAGGCCAACAGCCTAGAGCATGATGGAGCCAGCCTTCACTGAGACTCCTCACCTGAGGATTCATCCTCAGCATCTGAAACTACATTCTGCTTCCTTTCAGCTTCTCTAACTTAGTTCCCCTTAAGTTTTTTAGTTTTTCAACATATTAAGGAGGAAAAATATTCACCAAAACAATACTGGTAAAAGTCTCAAAATACACAGCAACAACACCTACAAACCAAATACAGATATATTTACTCAGTTACAAATGACTGTAATTTATTCTATTACAACACACATCTTTTGGGAAAGCCTTATATGTAAATTTTTAATCAACCAGAATAAAGACTATGAGCAGTTTTTCTTTTTTTTAAATGCTGCATATCTAAAAGGAAAGCCTCATGACATAAAAAAAGCCAGGATTTCAATCTATTCTGAGCATAGTCATTTAGAGTATAATGCTGAGCAAGCTAACATGTCAAATATCTCCTCTGGAAAAAACAAAGCAGCACTACACACCACCATGGGATGGGATGGACTGGATTAAAATAAGACCCACATCATCAGATCTCAGATATTTTGAGCATTTCATTCAAAGCAATCAAAAAGCAGAGTGCTATTTAATAATCTGCACCTCTGATCACAATTCTTGGAAAAAGCTCTTTAGAGGGCTAATTAAATTGATGAATCCCTCCCTCTTAGATTGTGCAGTCATATTCTTTCCACTTGATTTCCCGTCCAAAGAGATTCCATTACTTCCCACCACCTCATATGGAAACCCCCTACAATTACATCATTAGTACTTACATTCAAAGCATTCTTTGCAGCTTCTGCTTCTGAGCGACTGTCAAAACTGACAAAACCTACAGGCTGGGGAAAAAAAGAGAAATATGAAGAAAAAAAATCAGACGATGTCTATTTTTCTAGGTCAAGGGTGACGTCAAACTGAAGAGCTAAGATAAAGAAATGACCACAGGCAATGGGCAGAAATAAGAAAGCCAAGTCCCGAAGAATCATGACTCAGTGGCTTAGCCAAATTTCTAACATGAATCAAAGGGATGGTGAGGGTAGTTCTTCAAGGGCACAGCTGGGGATTTAGAGAATCATAAAAAAATCTAGAAGTGGTTGAAAGGTGAACAGCAGTGAACAAGGGAATAGAGGAAAACTTGGGTTGGAGAGGCTCTACTTTCCTAAATCAAATTCACTGTACCTCAGTTTCTTCATCTTTTAAAATGGAAAGAGAACCGAATCACCTTTTGGTACACTGTAAGTGCAAGAATACAATGACACAATGATAAAACCCCTGAACTCTCACTGCATGACCAAAATTACAAAGTGAACATTCCTATCTCAAATCCTAAGGGATGCCTTAAAAAATCCTGTGCTGGCTGGACAGGGTGGCTCACGCCTGTAATCCCAGTACTCTGGGAGGCTGAGGCGGGCAGATCATGAGGTCAAGAGATCAAGACCATCCTGGCCAACACGGTGAAACCCCGTCTCTACTACAAACACAAAAACTAGCTGGGTGTGGTGGTGTGCACCTGTAATCCCGGCTACTTGGGAGGCTGAGGCAGGAGAATCGTTTGAACCCGGGAGGCAGAGGTTGCAGTGAGCCAAGATCGCGCCACTGCACTCCAGCCTGGCAACAGAGCGAGACTCTGTCTCAAAAACAAAAAAACAAAAAAACAACAACAAAAAATCACCTTCTTAATTAGGCTGTTCAGAGTAAATACAGAAAGGCCATAATCCCTTTGGACTCCCTATCTTTCAGTAGAGAAGGCTGCCTCCAAGATCATTCTTCTCATGAGCCAGAGAGATGAATAGTGATTGGAGAGGTGTGTATGCCAAGTGTTTAGCTTTAAAAAAAAAAAAAAAAAAGTATACAGCTACAATCTCTAAGCTTGTATGAACTATCAGAATCACCGACTACCACTTCCATTTTGTACATTCTCTGCTCCATTCTGGACTCGGGACTCTGCCTTAGTTTAGGGGTTTGACAGACAGCATGATCCTTCACTATCTGATATTCACAGATTGTACACGTTTGTTTAACCTCATAAAAAGAAATGGGAAAGACTTGGGAATAAAAGTGAATTTAAATAATAAACCACTATTTTCATTGAACATACAAATCAATCTCAGTATACCACTGTGTTTATCTTCCTCTAGGATAGTCCCTGAAATTCCAGCTGATGATTATAGAATTATGAAGCATTTTCCTGTGCTAATTCCTAATACATCTCACTCTTTTATTTTAAAGACAAGAAAACCCTCAAATTCTAATGGGAATAAAAAAAAAGAATGTCAAGCCCCAGTAACATTACTGAAGAAAGTAAAAAAGTGATCTTTTTATGCCAGTTTGAAATTCTTACCTGTTTAGATGTGAGCTTTATAAGAGAACCCTCATAGCCCTGAAAATAAAGAAAAACCAAGTTTAGCCAAGAGTAACTGTAGTAATACCATTTTGTTCATGTAAAAGTAAGTTCTTTGTTGATTACCTAACTCCTCTTACGAATGTCTCCTAAGTTATCTGGGAAAGCAAATTACACACATGCATGTGCACGTGCACACACACACACACACCTGTTTGCATTCTTGGGGCCTTTAAAAAAATATAAATCTATGGATTCATCTGTGTGTGTTTCTCTTCCTTCTTTTTTTTTTTTTTCATGAAATTACACAATGGTAGAAAAATGAGTGTGTCTGTTAAAAGCAATCTTTTTGTTTTCTTGGTCTAGATAAGAATAGGGATTTTACAGAACTAGGCAAGGAAAGAAGGTAAATTTAATACAACAGGAAGGTCAGAGCATATATTGATTTGGTCATGTATCTGCTATAAAATAACAACAATAAAACATTAAGAATATAGTTGGGGCCTAGCACAGTGACTCACGCCTATAATCCCAGCACTTTGGGAGGCCAAGGTGGGCAGATCACGAGGTCTGGAGATCCAGACCATCCTGGCTAACATGGTGAAACTCCATCTCCACTAAAAATACAAAAAAATTATCCAGGCGTGGTGGCGGGCATCTGTAGTCCCAGCTACTCAAGAGGCTGAGGCAGGAGAATGGCGTGAACCTGGGAGGCGGAGCTTGCAGTGAGCCGATGGTGCCACTGCACTCCAGCCTGGGAGACAGAGCCAGACTCTGTCTCAAAAAAATATACCTGGTAAAACTCCCTGACCACATTTTCAAAACTGCCAGGAAAGGTTAAGCAGGCAATGATGTTGAATTTTGTTGAGTTATTTTGCTTACTTACTGAAGGAACCAGTTTTCATGTTGCTATTCTGATTGGGACATGCAAAAATAATCCCTTTGGATTTTTATTCCAGCTCATGCTCAAGAAAGACAGAAACACTCCCTCCCTTTCACTCCCTCTCTTCAACCCTCCCGGCTCCTCAAGATAAGCATAACAAAATGTGTTTATTTCTGAAAATAATCAATAGCTGGTGGCTTGCATTAATGGATGACACAGGGGAAAAACACACCACTTGACATGATTGACCACTACACACATCAGTGCAGAGACAGATTTGCAGACTTGGGTCAGCCTCCAGGGACTTTAATTAAAAGAGGGTTGTCAGGAATGTACCAGGGTGCTGACTTTATCATCAGGGTTTCTGGGCAGGATGCTGAGATTGATTCATCCTTACATCTTCCCAGCAGAGAACTATGTTGCCAATTAGCTACTATAAACATTTCACCTCAAAGGCCTTGAGCTCTTATGGCCAGAGAGGTCATGACTCATAGCTCTGCCTCTTCCTTTCTTCAAGGTGTTCTATTCTGAAAAAATTGGAGGTTTAAACACCATGAAGGTCTCGAAGGCAAAGGACAAGTAGATATTTCACTCAAGTAAAACACCACTGGTAGGGATATACTGTGTTCTCAAGTCACAAACAGAAAAGCAGTATAACATAATAGTTCAGAACAGAGAGGACAGAGTCAGACTGCTTGGGTTTGAATCTTGGCTCTGCCATTTTTTACGTGTGTAAACTTGAGCACGATTTATTCAACTGCTCCAAGTTTCATTTTCCTCATTTGAAAAAATGAGATTCACCCATTTGAAAGGACTGTGACGATACTTTAATAATTCATGTAAGGGGCTTGCTAGTGAATGTCTTTCTCTCTATACACACCAAAACATAACAGTATTTTACATACTAAGAAGATCAATTTGCTTTAAAAGTTTTCATTCTATAAGGATAGAAAAATGGTCCCTTTTATAAAAGTACAACCCGGCAGAAGAAACTCAGGAAATTCTATAAAAGGTGGCACTCTCTTCACACCACCTTCTCTTCCTTTCTCACTTCCTCCCACCTGACCTGGCGCCTGACCTCTGTTCCCCTGGGCCATCATCATTATTGTTGCATTAAAGGGACAGCTGTCAGGTGGAGTTATGTCCATTATGACATGGTGCCCTCTTGGCACATAAGCTAGACTGTTTTATCTTTGTTGGGTCTAACTGGCTGCCCCAGCAACCCTCCTTCCTCCTCCTCAACACAACAGTTTTTAGTTGTCATATCCTATTCTCTCTCCCTGAGAAGCTGAATCCTATCCTTCAACCTGTCATGCCTTTATCACTGGGGACCTGCTTCAATGAGGATGAACTTTAACCAGAAATCAAGATAGTCCATCACCTAATCATAAGTGCGGTCCCTGCCAGGCACTGCTAACACATCCACACTGACCAACTTAAGACTTCCTGAACATAGGCCCTTCCAGGGAAGGCACATATACCTTCCAGGGCCCTGATTCGATCAGCTCCAGCTTTCTCCTATCCTCCAAAGGCCAACCTTCAAAAGGTTTCTTCTAGGCCGGGCGCGGTGGCTCAAGCCTGTAATCCCAGCACTTTGGGAGGCTGAGACAGGCGGATCACGAGGTCAGGAGATCGAGACCATCCTGGCTAACATGGTAAAACGCCGTCTCTACTAAAAATACAAAAAACTAGCCGGGCGAGGTAGCGGGCGCCTGTAGTCCCAGCTACGTGGGAGAGCTGAGATCCGGCCACTGTACTCTAGCCTGGGTGACAAAGCGAGACGCCGTCTCAAAAAAAAAAAAGGTTTCTTCTTGGCAGCATGGTTATTTCAGCATAGTTTCTAAGTGCTTGGTGTCTAATTTACTATGAAGTTTTCAATCCTAGCAACATTAAGTATCTATCGAGTGATCTTATTTCCATAGGAAGGACAGGTAACTGCACTAAATATTTCAATAAACAACAGGAAATATGACCCTCAACTCATAACTAGGTATCCTTTAAAATTTTGTTTTACTTTGTTTGAAAGTTTTGCCATGGAAAAAATAATCGTGGTTAGGTTCTTAACCCAGTTCATAAAAACCTATTTACATTTCTGAAGAACAGTATCAACAGTACTATTTCAAATAATAAGGTATGAAATTAGGAATAAATCTTCACTAACATTATTGCATTTAAAATATAAATATGTAATTATGTAATTATCCTAAGTGAGACTATACATTAGAACTCAGTTGTTAAATCTCCTTTACTCATTAACCTTTTAAAAACATCTCTTTATGAAGTGCTTTCTCAAATATTTCATTTCTTGCTCCAAAAAGCCCTCAGGAAGCATACAGACTTTTGTCTCATTTTATAATTTCTGAAAGATAAAAAAGGTACCTTAAATGGTCTGAAAAGCAGATAGAGCTCCCGAGGTTTGATATCCAGAGGAAGGCCACTAACAAATAGGGTCCGGACCTGGAAAAATAAATTTAGGAAGTGATCAAGGGTGTGGACACTCCAGAGAGTTAACTCTCACCTGAAATCTCAAAAACATGTTATTCCAAATGTTCCACAACTCATACTAAATTCATGCTCTTTCCATGATACAGTGAATACTTCACTGTTAAGATGCCACTAAACCAACTCTTTTTTTTTTTCCTTTTTAAATTTTAGGGGAGACGCAGCTTTCTGTGTAATCTTAAGGTACATTCCCTAAGCCAACACTTGAATATTTCTATGTGAATTATTCAGAGTGAATTACATCTAGTTGATTTAAATTTACAAGCTAACTTTTCCCAACTAGCCATTGCACAGTTATAAAAATGTGAAGGATGGGGGAAGGTTCCATATAATTTGAATATTAGCTTAAGAAAAAAATGACATGAGCACAGTAACTCTGCCACTCCCCTGCCCTAAATATATGGTCAATATAATGTGCTTCAAAAATAATACAAAAACAATTTGTTTCCTCCTGCTTGTTTCGTTGCTGCTTTCCTCATAGGCATTAATTACAATATCTTTAATAAATGTAAAAGTACAGTTAAGCCCAATGCACCTAAATAGTAACCAAAATGCATTAATTCTGCATCTGTTCGGTTCCAAAACAGCAGGGCCAACCTCACTGACTATTGTTCCCACTGCGTTTTTTTGTTTTGTTATTTTTGTTTTAAAATTTTAAGTACTGGGGTACATGTGCAGGATGTGCAGGTTACAAAGGTAAACACATACCATGGTGGTTTGCTGCACAGATCAACCTATCACCTAGGTATTAAGCCCAGTAACCATTAGCTATTCTTCCTGATGCTCTTCCTCCCCTCAAGCCCCTGACAGGCCCAATGTGCTGTTTCCCATCATGTGTCCCTATGCCCTCATCCTTCAGCTCCCACTTGTGAGAATATGTGGTGTTTGGTTTTCTGTTCCTGTGTTAGTTTGCTGAGGATAATGACTTACAGCTCCGTCCATGTCCCTGCAAAGGACATGACCTCATTCCCTTTTGTGGCTGCATAGTATTCCATGATGTATATGTACATTTTCTTTCTCCAGTCTATCATTGATGGGTATTTGGGTCGATTCCGTGATTTTGCTATTGTGAATAGTGCTGCAGTGAACATACACGCACATGTATCTTCCTAGCAGAATGACATATATTCCTTTGGGTATATATCCAGTAATGGGATTGCTGGGTCAAATGGTACTTCTGCTTCTACATCTTTGAGGAATCACTATACTGCCTTCCACCCATTGTGTTTAAGGCACAATCAACACATAGGCCTACCATGACCAAGGTACCTGGCCACGGTGCCACTAATAAAAGTCATTCAAGACACATATGTAAATACATATAGTGCAAAGTGTAGGGTGTACACTATGTGCTTAGTGTCTACTAAAATACAGAACACAGAGGAAACACCAGAGAAAGCATCCAAATAAGAATCTAAAGGATGGGCATTTACCAAATAGAGCCAAAAGATGAGGTGGGATGCCTAAGAATCATAGGCAGAGAAAAGCATTCACCAAGGCAGTGAAGTAGAGGAAGAAAAAATACATTCTCGGGAAAGGGCAAGCCAAAACTAAACAAGAAGCTTGGGGTCAAACCACACAGAACATCAAAAGCCACTGGCTCAGGAATTTGATCTTGATTCAATAGGCAAGGAGTAGCTACTGAATTATCATCATATTTTCTATTTCTTTTTCTCTACTCACACGGATGCAACAAAACTGAAAACTTGATGCTCAACTGTTCAATTGTTAACCATGTATATACATGGAAGATTTTTCCTCAGTGAAAGACAGGGAGAATATTAGACAGACAGACAGACAGTGTGCTACCATGTCTGGCTAATTTTTTGGAAAGATGGGGTTTCACCATGTTGCCCAGGCTGATCTCAAACTCCTGAGCTCAAGAGATCCGCCCATCTTGGCCTCCCACAGTGCTGGGATTACAGATATAAGCCACCTCGTCTAGCTTTAGGCTTTTTGTGAGATTCCCAACACTTTTAATTGCTTATTGTTATACAGAAGTGCGAATCACCAAGCAAGGCCTGTTTACTGACCCAGCACAGCACCCAGTAAAATGTCATGCCATTTGCATGTGTTTGATAAACACGATAATGATGTAAATAGCCCCAGAATTCTGAATGCCTTATTTTATGATTTATAAACAGCTTTATTGAGGTTATGATTGATATATAATAAACTACACATCTTGAAAGTGTACGATTTTATGTTTTGAGATATGTATAACCTAAGAAACATCACAACCTAGACAATCTATCACCACCAAAAGTTTATTCATGCCCCTTTAATCCTTCCTCTCACTCTGTCCCACCATTCTCCACCCCTAGGCAATCACAGATCTGGTCTCTTTATATATATGCTTCAAACACTTACACAGAGGGAACCACAGAGTATGTTTTTCATCTGGCTTCTTTCCCTTAGCATGAAGTGAAATTTACTTTGAGATTTATCTATGTTGTTGAATGTATCAACAGTCTATTCTGGAGTGTGGATACACCACAGTTTGTTTATCCATTCACATGCTGACAGACATTTGGGTTATTCTAGCTTTGGCTTTTACAAATAAAATGGCTTTGAACATTCATGTACAAATCTTTGTATGGATGTATACTTTCTTTCTTTTTGGATAAACACCTAGAAGTGGAATGCCTATATATGAAAAGTACATGCTTTTTTTTATGCCCATCAATTCCTTGTCTTATGGTTCAGAACATGGTAAATGTTCTGTGTGCACTTAAAACAAATGTGTATTCTGCTGGGGCTGGGTGGAATGATCTATAAGTATCAATTAGGTGAAGTTTGTTGTTCAAGTTTTCTGTATCTTTTGCATCCTCACTTCCAATACCCCCAACTTTGTCACCAGATAAACAAGTTCCTGGGGGTCTTTATGAAGTTGGCCGAGGCAGAATTGCTGACAAGTGTCAAAGATACAAACAGTGAGGAAATCCTGCTAATCCAATGTGCCCTCCCTGTCACCTGCAACTCTCCTCCCAGAGTCCAGAAAGTGAACACCATGTGTTCCACTTGGTTGTTCTGGTCAGGACAACCTGGGCAGAGCGAGAATATCATCTCCCATTCATTCACAGTGCCTGTTTTCTCTCTGACACTGTGCCAGGTGCTAATGGATTACAGGGATTTCCACAAAAATGATACGGTAAGCAGAACCTACGTTCTAGGTGTCATGGTGCCATTTATCTAGTGGTGCATCTTACCATGTGATAAATATGAATTAGAATTTGAGGAGTTAACCTAGAAAATAAACTATTATTTATGACATTGTTATAGAGAAAAGAGCATCATAAACGTCAATTTACCAACAGAGGTTACTTGAAATCTGGGGATTATCAACAAAAGGTTACTTAATATAAATTAAAGTTCATCTGTATCATACAATGAAATACTACACAGCCAATAAAAATGCTGTTCAAGAAAAAAGTACATATAGTTCCACTTTGTTTTATAAAGTAGCCAACATATAAGTATTGATAAAGGAAAAAAATTTATCTTATAGTATGTGTACTCAAATATTTCTATCATTTAGCTCTCAATGGTATAGTAACTGATTTTAATGTTTATTAGCTTATTTGTATTTTCCATCTTTCTAAAATAAATATGCATTAAATACTGTAAGTTTATTTTATTCGGTTGAGAACTACCTCAATTTATTACCTCCCTTTCTTTAAGGGACTAAAGACAAAGTCGATATTTATATCAGTATTATATTATAAAGTTTATGGAGGAACTTCTTTCTTAGGTAAATATTCCATAATGGAAAGTGAAGAGATTCTTATCTTAGTGTTTCAATAGAAAATTGCTATACATAGGGAAAAAGAATATCCGAGCTCCTGTCAGGCCTAAGTTTGCCATTCACCCATAGATGCCAAGAGGCTCAAAGCAACTCTGTTTTGTTCATCAAACTGGAGACAGATCAGATGTTTGGCATTTTATTTAAACATGGACGAGACTTAGGTTTCCTAGAATCTCATGAAGTCCACTATTGTTTCAGAAATCTACCAGAATATCTCATCTCACTCACTGAGATTCTTTCCTCCAGCAGAACAGACTGACAAGGGGGAAATAATTTCTGAATACTTACATTATGTATTTGATTCCAACTAGAGGTCACTTAAATCCAAGAGCATAATGTGCTTGGAATCCTAGAGACCTCCTCAGACTAGGAAAGTCATCAAGCAAGTTTTTAAAAAATCATGAATAATGAATGGAAAAAACAGCTTCCTGAAGATCAAATTCATGCTTTTCTATGGTGATTGGGATCTAGAATCACAGATTTTTTTCTTTTTTTTTTTTTGAGATGGAATCTCGCTTTGTTGCCCAGGCTGGAGTGCAATGGCGCAATCTTGGCTTACTGAGACTTCTGTCTCCCGGGTTCAAGCCATTCTCCTGCCTCAGCCTCCCGAGTAGCTGGGATTACAGGTGCTCACCACCACACTCAGCTAATTTTTGTATTTTTAGTAGAGATGGGGTTTCACCATGTTGGCCAGCCTGGTCTCGAACTCCTGACCTCAGGTGATCTGCCCGTGCTGGCCTCCCAAAGTGCTGGGATTATAGGTGTGAGCCACCGTGCCTGGCCTAGAAACACAGAAAAATTTTAAAATATTTTAGTTTCCCTACTCTAAAAAGTATATTACCATCATACTTTTCATCTGAGCCACTAAAGGGCACTTTAGAGTTTTGCCTTTGCTAAGCCTACTGAATTCATAAAGACATGATTCCTGCCTTCAGGGAACTTACTGTCAGTGAAATGAACTGAATATGTAATGGCTGCCTGTGATCACAGAAAGCTTAGCTCATTCACAAAGTAAGTAAAAAAACCCCAAGAGTAAGATACAAGCATAAGCAGCATGTAAATCCATGATGAAATACTCATTAACAAAACTGTTCCCCAAAAATAACAAATGAATTACTACGCCAACTGAACTTTGCAGCAGGTCAAAGCA